CCCCCCCCCCCCCCTCGCAACATCAATAAGCTGTGCATTAAAACTGCAGACCGTTATCATGACCGTTGTGGATGCTAGCTAGCAAGAGTTCAAAGAGTAGCCCATACGACAGGGATTTGCTTGTTCAACCCCATTTCCGAGCCAGTGCCTCCACAACAAACTTCTAGTTTTACGGCAAAACTTCTGTACCGGTGTGAAAAATTCGCTCGAGAAATAATGAAATGCAACCTTTTCTCGGCCTGTTTCCTTGCATGATATCTTGCGGCGGCTCTCATACCGGACCGATCCAGTGATTGTTGTAACACCCAAAACAGTATTGGTCACTCACGGCTCGCTGATAACATCCAGGGTTGCTATAGTAGTACAAAGTGCGAAAAACAGTGGGCCTGAAACAACAAAAATCAAAAAAGGCATAATACCCCCACCCTGCTGGTAAAATTCGCGAGTATGGCAGATATAGCTGCATGTGCTGGCCACCAAATATTACAAATTCAAAAGGAAAGCGCACCCGTAGCTGCATCACAGAGCGGATTTTTTGATGTACCATATCAGGCAGAAAACACGTTTACCCTCACGAACATTATATCCATACTGAAGGCAGTGATGTACGGATGCGAAAATATGACTATCAAAGAGAGCAAAACGAGCAGATACTGGCTGTGACGGAGAGAGCAATGGAGCGAAGGATGCTTGGCGTATCTCATATTATGGTACAAGATATGGCCCGTGAAATGCATGCGCGTACATAGCTGAAGTACTAAGCACATTGCTGGCTCTGTCGACAGCCCCCCTTACCCATGTGTTGAGGACTGGTACTTGCAAAAAAAAAATGACCACTCAGGCAATCTTTTCGACGAAAACATGCACATGCAACGGCCAATGAGATGGGTAACAATTCGAAGTAAACTTCCCAGGAAATCTCCTGGACGATACACTTCATGCCTAACAATTATAAACCGATTGTAGCAGCCAGCTTGACCTTGTACGCCTAACTGGCGAAGGTGCGATAGATTACAGCACGAGATAAAAGTATGAGAGCAGATAAGACTGAGACGTTTTGGTCCATTAAGTACGTGACACCTAAGACCCTCGCCACAAATGAAGCCTTGCCATGCGATTTTGTTGGGAGAAATGTTGCAGTGGTCACTCGTGCACAAATGAAACAAGCATCAGAATCGCCAAAAGGCTGACCGTCAGCAAGCGATGCGGTACTGGTCAGGGCTACGGCCCCACTGTTGCAAAAGCACGGTGTTACCAGTATATGCATTTCAGGCCAAAAACCACTGTGCGCGAAGCACATGTGATACGATCTCAAGTTGACAGGCATATGATGATAAACCCATCAGACTGAACAGAGGTCAAGGTCAACAGGGAAAGAAACCGCTCAACCTCTCTTACGAGGGAAAAATCGTACAGCATAACTCCAAAACTATAGGCGGATCCAAGACAGACCACTGGGGAGACGGGGAGTGGGACGACCGAGGGTGGGAAGGCGAGTCCCCCCCCTCCTCCCCCCTCCCTTCCCCATCCTGGAACTATGCAAAAACTAGGAAAAGAGTTGTAACACTGCTACCTGGAGTTACTTTAGACTTTAGTTTAGTTTTAGCTTTAGAGCCGGACTTTTGCAACACTGGTGCCTGTGTCGTTGGAGGAGAGGAGGGGGAG